GAGCAGAACTGAGGCAAGGAGCCCGGACTTCAGGGTGGGCCACCCAGCACCAGAAAGCAAGGGGGTGGGGGCTCCCCAGGTGTGGCTGGGGAGCAGGGAGGGTGGCTCCCATCATCCCCACACGTCCTCAGGGCCAGGCAGAGCTCCAGGCCCCGACTCCCTCAGGGCCTTTGGCCTGGATGCTCAGACAGCTGGTGAGAAGACACCCCTCCTTGAAGGCCTGCATCTCCTCGTTTCACAGAAGGAAACTGAGGCCCAGGGCCCTGAGCGAGGCCTCGCCTCTTGCCTGGGCTGTTGTCCCAGTCTCTGCTCAGCCTGACAAGTGCAGGGGGCCAGGACTGAGACCTGCCTAGCCTAAGGCCTAGAGGCAGAAGGGACCCTGAGGACATTAATAAATACAACGGGCGTCCCTGGAGGCAGCTGGCCAAGCCCAGGCTGGGAAGGGGAGCCTGGCCTGGCCCACCCCAAGGGCCCACCACCCTCAGCCTTTCTCCTTCTGGCTCCTGGGAGCCACGATCCGGTAGTTGGCAGCGTGTCCTCCCCTCTTGCCCCGGAGGAAGCTGGGGGTGCCCACGCCAGCAGGGCCTGCCCCGGACCCCAGCTCTGGTTCTGTCAGAGGGAAGAAGGAGAGAGGCCACGTTAGGGGAGTCCGTGTGGGGTGCCCATCTTCCCTCAGCCCTTTGGGGGTGACGTGCCTGGACCCCCTCTGCCAGGTGTAGTCTACCTTGGTGTCTGGGGGGCCCAGCTGTGGTAAGAAGGGTCTGTCTGCAGGCTGTTAGTGCCTCCCCCTGGGAACTGCCTGCAGACCACGAGGGACCTCCTTGCTGGACAAAAACCCACCTTGTTTATGAATTGTTCAGCACGTAGTCATGCACCATGAAAGATTTTTTTTTTCTTTTTTTCCTATTGTTTTGGGATAGAGGCCCTGACTCACCCCCATTTCAGACCTGGCAACACAGAGGCCAGGCAACAAACTTACTCTCCCTTTCCCCTTGGGGTAGGTCAGCAGCAGGGAAAGGGCGTAGGAGGGCCAGGCTCTGTCACTGACCCTGCTGTGCAGCCTTGGGCAAACTGCACCTGTCAGGGCTCCAGCCGTCTCTCATCAAAAATCAGGGACAGTTCCACACAGACGCAGGTCCCAAACAGGTCCAAAAATGACTGAAGCCAGTCCCAACGGGGGGAGATATGCCCCAAACTTGGACATAAGCTGTATCCCAAGGAAAAGACTGAGTAATTGGCATTTTTGCCACGTGGAAAACTCCTACCCATCCTTCAAAACCTAGCCTCAGTCCCTCCCCAGATTAGATGAGGTTAGGCAGGTCAAAGGAGAGGCTGTTTCTGTAGGAAGCCAGGATGCTCAGGTAGGGAAGCTGCAGGATGGAGAACCGTCACTCTGTTCGTAGGACGGACACCTGAACTGGGAGCACCAGCTTCCCGAGGGCACAGCTGGGAGTGGGCTGTCTCCTTGCAATCACAGGTCAGCATCACCTGTGTGCCCCAGCCCCTGGGCAGGGCCCTGGCAGGTGTGGGCAGTCCCTCTCCACGCCCAGGGTGGCTCAGTGACAGCTAGGGCCAGACCCCAGCCCCATTCCATCCCAGTTAGGCAGCCCTGGGCAAGTCGCAGGGCCTCCGGGCCTCATCCGGAAGGTGGGGATAACACTCCTGTCACCACGCCCTGCGATACCCGTGACCAGGGGTGGAACGTGGCTTTTACAGTAAATACTGGATTATCATGGGTCCTGGCTTGGTGCGGTGCTGACCCAGGTCTGTGGGTCTGGTCACTGAGTTCATCACGGGATGTTGTTCTGACACAAATTCGGGGTCCTAGCTGTCCCCTGTCCTCCTGCCCCCACCCCGCCCAGTGCCCCGTTAAGCAGAGACCAGAGTCAGCGCTTCAGAGGCCAGACCTGGCGCAGACCCCCGGCCTGACCGTTGCCATCTCTGTGACTGGTGGAGTCACAGGAGCCCTCTGAGCCTGTGTCTTCACCTGTAAAATGGGCTCAGTCCCACCCACCTCGCGAGTTTATCGTAAGGGTCGTAGAAGATCAACGTGAACCCCCAGCCTAGGTGGGAGCCCTTACTACTATGGTTATAGACTGCACCTGAGCCCTGTGGGACGAGTCCCATCTCCTCCTCTGTTCCCTCCTCCTGCTCTGCTCCCTCTAGGCCCCAACCCAAACTGGCACCTGTGGCCACCCTTCTGGGCTCCTGGCTACTGAGAGTGGGCGTGGACCTGCCCAGGGGCACTTCCTTCCTGGGCTGTTACCCACAGAGCCTGCCTCCCTGGCCCACTGCATTTGTTCTAGCTCCTTCCTGCCCCAATTCTCCTTACTGGGGGGTGGGGCGGGCTGAAAAACAGCTGCGAGCCTCGGATGTGGTCCCTGGGCCCCCTCTGTAAGAGGGCAGGAGGTCTGGGAGATGGGGGCTGATGCGTCTAGAAGTGAGAAAAGCACGTGGCCTGGCAGGATAGGCTTTGCCCATGCCAGGCTAACACTCCGTCAGGGCGGCCCCTCCTGCACTTCCACCAGGCACACTCTGAGGGTTTCTCCACGACCCAATGCAAGGGTCTCTCTTCCGGGAAGTCTCACCGCAGTGAGAGGCGGCTGCCCCTCCCCCCCATCCTTTGAAGCCTCCACTCCCCACATCTCACTGGGGATTCCCTGCTGCTCAGCCTGCAGCTACCAATGGCAGGACCTACCTGCTCTCCCAGGCCCTGGGGCCCACCTGGGCCTAGCTCCCTGAGCAAAAGAGGCTTAGTTCTGACCTTGACCCTCCTCCCACCTTGGGGCCTGTTTCTCCATCTGTAAAGCAGACGTGAGGCTGGACATGACTGCACTGTGAGATGGAGATGGGGCGGCTGGAGGTGGGAAAGCGTCGCTGGGAGAGCCTCTCGCAGGGTAGGCGAGGACAGGGCCCAGCCCCCAGCAGCCCGCCCCCAGCAGCCAGTTCCTGTCT